ATTTTATTCTTATATTTATTTGCATATTTTCCAAATTCCGGTTTTATTGATTAAGGAAGCTATGAGAATGGATATCCTGATGCATTTATTAAGAGATAAATCTATGGAAAAAACTATGCCACAGTGGGAATTGGTAAATAAATATATTGAGAAAAGACTAAAGAAAAAAGAAAATTAATGTTACATTAATAAATAGCTCGAAGAGAGAAGACTGGTGGAGGTTTTGGAGAGATCAAAAGCTAGACGTAAGGCGGAAGTAACAATTAGTTAAGGGAAATTTGAATACTAAAAACCATAATTTTAAATAATATTGAAATATTTAACATAAAAATACCTCTATGCCCAAAACTCTTTCTACTAAACATGTCAAAGGAACTAGATATTGTAATAAAAAGAAATTACGAACGTATTCTTCTGTACATGATCTCAATAGCCAGGATAGTCTTCGCGAGGCATTGGAAGAACGACAAAATTCCCCAAATGGAAGAATGGCTAATCAAACTGAAAGTTTTGCACCTTTCTAATTGTTTTTTTTAACTCTTCTTAAGCTTCAGAAAAGTATAATCATATAAAAATGTATCTAGTAAAACTTTCCTAGTGGAGCCTTATCGAGTGTTAAAATCTCTGCAACTCTAAATTAAAATTCTGAATACTTAAGAACCTAGGGCAGGGATAGGCAACTTTTTTGAGCCGGGGGCCGATCCCCCAAACTCGTCCCTTCTGGTGGGCCCGGGGGGGGAATGGTGGCGCGTGTGCTCACATGCACGCATGCAACCCGCCACCACGCGTGACCCCCCCGTGTGTGCGCTGCTGCTGCTGCTGCCGCCGCCACCACCACCACTGCTGTGCTCACTGCTGCCGCCGCCGCCACCGCTACCACTGCGCTTGCTGCCACAGCCACCTCCACGCATGTGGCGGCTGCCATTTTGTTCTCCAAAATGGCGGTTGCGGTGTGCGCGGCCGCGTGGCAACCAAAACGCACAGCGGCAGTGGCAGGCGGTGGTGGCAACAGGGGTCTGCCTGGGCCGGTAAGTGCAGGGCCCTGGGCCCCTGACCTAGGGGATAGGAATGAAAACAAATATTTGAAAAACAGCCAAATAAGTGTCAGGAAACCCTTAAAAAGAAAATCCAAGGTGTGGGGATCATTGCAATGGGGACTTATCCTGTGGATTGGGGGATGCACAGAAAGCCACATTTTCTGTATAGAAAATAAGCTCTCTGCATATGCTCTTTTCTGTGCAGGAATTTTGCTTTCTGTACAGAAAATGCCAAGAGCATTTGCAGAGAACAAAGTGTGCTTTTTTGCACAGAATAATTCATGAACTTTAAGAAATCTTAAAAAGATTTTAAAAACTTCAGTTTTCAACTACTTACTTGTCTGCAAAACCAAAATTTATGATTATTTATATACCCAAAGGGAGATGATTTTAAAACGTTGGTAATGATAGTCATTTAACACCACAGAATGGTGTATTGCCAGTGGATGTATTGACATTTCACTCCTCATAAATAAAATATCTCAGGTAATGCTTCTGAGCCTTCTGAAGAACTCAGTTCCCACCAACACTGACAATTCTACATTTCCCATCAACTCATTCTCATTAGCCCTTAAACAGGGGTAGGCAACCTTTCCCCTTTAAGGACCGAGGAACTTCAGCTCCCAGAAGCCTCAGTCATGTTGGCCAATAGCTCCTGGGATTCTGGGAGCTGAAGTCCCTCAGCCCTTAAAGGGGAAAGGTTGCCTTCCTGCCCTAAAAGCTCTCCCCAACAAACATCCCCCTTTTCCTTCAGTCAACTTGGAGGGGGGGCACTAGCGTTATGCAGTGGAGGACCTGAGGTGGCAGCTTCTCTTCCTTTCTCCTTCTTTGTTCTTCTAACAAGCTTGATAATATATTACCAAAGCAGTGGCAACCTGAGTTCTCCAATGATTTGAAGTGGAAGGAGAAAAGCTTCCACCTATCTCAGTATGTCATCACTCCTACTGCTGACCATTTCACTATTAGCTGAAATGACAGTGCCATCACTATCTAACATTCCTCTCATTCACAGGAAATAAATTTTTCAGACAGGAAGGTATTGTGTTGTTCTTGACAGAATGGTCCCATATCAAATACCTGGCCATGAGGAATTGTTCCTTACAGCTAAGCAAAGTAGGTTATGTGCCCTGGGAGATGTACTATGCCATAGAACAGGCAGTCTTCCAGGGTCATTTCTGGTTCTGAGGAAGAATCTCTGAAAGCTAAGAATTTGGGACCTGGCCAGCTCTAGAGGGTCAGATGACAGACATTTTGACTGGTAAGTCTTTCCAGAATGATTGTGTGTAGCCCAAGTGAGATGACAGTGATTTACTTCTCTTCATGTTCTGCTACCAAAAGCAAGCACATTACTTTGCCTAATGAGAGCCCTGGACCTGATGTTACATTAGGAGGACTGTGATATATTTGATGTGACTATTAAAATCTGGCCATAATATAAGTGCTGTTTCCCCTAGGTAGGTAGGTAAGTAGGTAGATAGGCAAGCAGGCAGGCAGGCAGGCAGACAGACAGACAGACAGACAGACAGACAGACAGACAGACACACACACACACACACACACACCTTGTTTTACTGGTCATACCCTCACTAAAGTCAATCATGATTTATTGGAATGAAATGCTACAGAAGATACTTGTACTGGCCTCTTGTTTACTGTTGTCATGTTACCTACTGCTAACAATGCATAAATCCTCATATAGTTGCTGTTGCCATTTAATCACAAGTACAGTAGAGCATGAATTTATTGTTTCTTTGTACTCTAAATCTCCCTCAGTGCTTGGCTGCTTCTAAACATTGAGAATATGGATGCTGAAGATAGAAAAAGAAATGTAATAGTCAACAGGAGATTACCAGTCATAGGATATTCTTTCTACTTGTATGCCAAAATCCTACTTTTTCTATGGATAAGGGAGAGATGTGTTGGGTCTAGTTTCTGAAGCAAATTCAACATATGACCTTTAAGCACCCTTTTTCAGATCCTTTTTTCCCTTTTGTCAATCTCCCGCCCCAATTCACTTTTTGGGATGTATGTGTGTGTATGTGCCTTCAAGTTGCCTGTTGACTTAATGGCAGCTCTATTAATTTTATAGGTTTTTCTTAGGCAAGGAATATTCAGAGGTGGTCTTGCCAGTTCATTCCTCCAAACTACAGACTACAGCACCTGGTATTTGTTGGGGGGTCTTCCATAAATATATTAACTTGGACTGACCCTATTAAGTTTCTGAGATCAGACAAGATCTAGTGCCCTTTGAGTATTAAGGACCCTTCAGCTGTATATGAATAAATAATGTTGGTTTTCCTCTATCATTTCCCAATCCTGAATCAAGTGGTGCTTCTAGGACAGGACATTAAGGCAGATGTCCAGGGCTGCATTCAGTGAAATGAGAAGGAGGGCTTTCTGATGTGACAGGGATGGCTTACTTCATTTTGAAGTGAATTAATCCAATTACTGTGAGCAGATAAAGACTATTAAGTCCATTATCTGAAGTGTTTGTTCTTACAGGCTAAGCCAAGGGAGTTAAATATTTATTATCTTAAATGAGAAAACAGGGTGCTTGGATTTTGCAAGGGAATAATAAAACATTTTATATTTGGTGATTATGTTTGTTATTCTAGCAGACTCTGGGTGTTTTTCAGGGAATCAATAACTTATCTTTGATTGTAGGCAGCAGCTGTTTGTGAAAATGTAGCTTCGCATCATGAAGTACACCCGGAGTTGCACTGTGGACCACATTTCAAAACAGTGTGGGACAAAGTGAACAAGGTATGTGCAATGCAAAGTGTGGGCAGGAACAGATATAATTCTAACCAAGACATTTTCTGATTAAATACAGCTTATTTGTATACATGTCTAGGCACGAGCAAAGTACAGTTCAATTCCATGCAACAGATTTGATAGGAAAGAAAAGCTGAAAGCCATCATGATTCTGCTCTTGC